ATTCCCTGAGGACAAGGCCCTCCTCCCATTGTTTCTACTGACCAGGGGAATGATACCTCAGGGGCCCCAACTGACTTGGGTCAGTAACATCAGCTATGACCTCTCCCTCCAAGCTCGCCTCGCTATGCTACCGCTACCGTAATCCGACGTGAGCAAGGACCCGGAAAATCACTGTTAGCCTTACACCTGTTACCAACGGCCTGCAGTCCCCAGACTCATGGGCCCTAAGGGTGACAGAGAGGAGCTTTGCTCTGCAGGGCTGCCAGTGGCCAAGGGCTGGAAGTGGGTCACTAGGCCTTTCTTCCATGGGGCGCCAACTCTCTGGGGAGCAGCTGAGCACGAGCAGGGCCGCAGCCCCGGAGAGCCCTTCCATCTGCCGAGCTCAGTGCACCCCAGGTCACCCTGCAGCCACCACCCCAGCCCTCAGAACAGCCCAGCACTAAGGCCACCTGCACTCACCTCCGACCCCCACAGCACTGACCCCTCTGAACCCCACTTTGTCTCTACTAGCACACAACAGAATGGGAGCGCCCCCCGGGGCAGGAAGTCCAGAGGTCTCTTGTTAAAAGATGTGGAGAGAGCAGGACCCACACCGCCCGTAGGATTCCAGCTAAGCAGGGACCACGGGGACCGTGTCCACGACAGAGCAGACGAGTGCTCAAGTCAGGTACCCTCCCTGTGCCTGGGCTGTCCTCCCTCACCTCGAGCACTGGCCTCGGAAAGCTTTCAGGACAAGTGTGAGGAGCAGGGCGTGGCTTACAGGAAATGCTCACTAGGCTCAGCCCTTCTCACACTCGGGGCCTGATGGGCAGTGTTCTGGGACCAGGTTGGTGGCGGACTGGTCTGGGAGGGGTCGTCACTTGCCTCCAAGTGGAGTCCCAAAGCAACAGCCAACTCCCACCGCACAGCCGACGGTCAGGATGTCTGTGTAATAGTAGGGCTGCTACTGGGGGAGAGACAGAGACAGAGACAGAGACAGACAGGGCGGGGAGGGGAGGGGGAGAAAAGGAGAGGGGAGGGGGAGAGG